ATATCTTTTCATAGCTAATATTAATAGGGCTCTTAATTATGCCAGGCAGGGAGCTAAGCACTTTACATACATTTAACTCTTCTAAGAGCCTCACAAGGGGTGTACCTTCACGACCCCCTTTTTACAGATGAGTAAACTCAGGAGCGAAAAGCCTCAGTTGACTTCCCAGGATTCAGCCTAGAAGTCCCTGACTCTCAATCCGCCTTTCACCGTGGGCGACCTTTCCCACAGCACCTACAACTCTCAGCTTATTTCATTGTTATCGCAAGAAGAAGGTCACATAATGATCCCTGTGAAGACAGAGGCACAGAATGAGGTGATGTGTCTCTACCTCAATGAATGCCAAGCATTGCCAGCAACCACCAGGGCCTTGGAGAGAGACATGGAACAGATTTTCCTTCAGAGCCTCCAAAGGAACCTGTGCTGCCAACACTTTGATTTTTGTCTTCTGGCCTCCGGAGCCATAGGAAGAATAAATTCCTGTTTTTCATTAGCCACTGAGTTTCTGGTAATTTGTTATGGCGGCCCTAGGGAGCTAATACAGATTTGTAGAGTAATGGAATGAGTTCTGTATTGGAATCAATCAGACGACCTGAGTCAGAGTCCTAACTCTTCCTCTTCTAGACATATAACCTCTCACTTCTTTGCTTTCACGCAAGCCTCAGTGTCTTCCTCTGTAGAATGGGTACATGGTAGCCTGGCTTCCAGGGTTATAGTGGGAATAAATGAGACCTGAAACTATGCAGGTAAATCTTGGATGGATGAGATGATGAGCTGGAATCCTAGGGCTCAGGATAGCACTCAAAGCAGCTTAGAAGCAGCAACTGCTGGACATTTGCTTCCAAATGCTCCAAAGTGTTGTTGGCAAACTGGCTTCTCCCTGACATCACCTCCTGGAGTCCAGGTCCTGGGCCAGACCGAAGTAACCATTTGGAGAATGAGTCAAGGAGCCCTGGCACTAGGATATTCAGTCATTACTTCCTGCCAGGAGTCTGGGTGTGTGTGTGGGAGGGAGCCCTGTGTCAAGGGGAGTCTTAGGGCTTCAAAGCCAAAGAAAAGGCAATTAAGTTTATGGTGGAATTAGTCAGGAAACTGTAAACCTAGGGCATTGCCACTGTACAGTAGGTCCTTTTAGCACCATCTCACAACATACTGAGCAGTCTGGGCTCTGGTTCTAACAAATTTGTCTCTTAAAAATAAATTTAGAGTCTAGACGAGGTTACCATGACCTCCTTGCCGCCTGTAGGTCTTCATATGTCACCAGGGTGGGAAATGTGCCAAGTGATAAACCAAGATATTCTAAGTCCCAGAACCCCAACCCTAACCCTACCCCACTCTGGATCTGGCGTCCATGAAGCCCGTTCCATTGGAGAAACACGGGAAGGGAACTAGAGGTGCTGCATTGCACAGACCATCACACTGGGCCGGGCAGGAGAGTGAGTTGGCCTCTCTCAAAGGATTGGGCTCCTCCCAGTCCTCACAGTCTAAATTGGTAAAAGCAAGTTTAAGCAACCAAAGTGTTGCCTTCTGGCCATGAACCAGAGATAAGCAATATCATTTCGTGATGATAAAGCGATCAGTTAATCAAGAGGACATAACAATCCTGAACATTTATGCTCCTAATAACCGAGCTTCAAAATACATAAAGCAAAATCGGAAGGAATGTCAAGGAGAAAATTACAAATTGACAAATTATAGTGATGGTTGCAGATCCCAATATTCTTCTCTCTGTAATAAATCATGTAAACAGAAAATCAGCAAAGATATAGTAGACTTGGGCAACACTAGCAACCAACTTGACCTAATTAACTGGAAATAACCCAAATGCCCCTCAACAGAGAATGAATAAACAGATTGTGATAAATGCATACAGGGAAATACTATCTAACAAAAAAGAGAATGACTCACTTTGGCTGGGCTGCCACCTGGCATTTCTGTAGGACTCTGCCTGCGACCCTTGGAACTCCTAAAGCAGCGGTTCTCAACCTGTGGGTCGCGACCCCTCTGGCGGTCGAACGACCCTTTCACAGGGGTTGCCTAAGACCATCCTGCATATCAGATATTTACATTACGATTCATAACAGTAGCAACATTACAGTTATGAAGTAGCATCGAAAATAATTTTATGGTTGGGTCACAACATGAGGAACTGTATTTAAAGGGCCAGAGGGTTGAGGACCACTGGTCTATGATATGAATCCATTTATATAAAACTCTAGAAAAAGCAAACTAATCTAAAATGACAGAAAGCAGATAAGTGGTCACTCAGGGAGAAGTGGGGAGGAGGGAGAGGGAGTGATTAACAAGAAACATGAGAAAACGTTAGGAGAGTTATGTTCTCTCTCTTGGTTGTAGTGATGGGTTCGTGGGCTTATCCATATGTCAAAATTCACCAACTTATACACTGTATGTGTAGCTTATTATATGCCAATTAAGCCTTAATAACATGTGTGTGTTTTAATGTCTTAAGGCTCTCCAAAAGGCAGAGGAGAAAGTCTCCACTTAGAAATCTTGTTTTCGAAGTTGCGTCCTTTGCCTAGTACGCAGGTTCACATGCTCTGCTAATCCTGAGATATTGGCCAAAGGCATCTGACACACGGCTCAACATTCTGGTTGGGAGAGAGCATCTGGAAGACCCCGAGGTTAGCGCCAAGTGTCCCAGGTAAAATCCCCTCTAAGAAAGGAAACTGAGCATAGGTACTTGGTAAGCAACCGGAAAGATGTCACTGCAGTAGAGTGACATAGAGTTCTTGTTTGGGCCAGCGCTGGGCTTCAGGTACTCCTCGCATCTGGAGTTGCAACATCCAATTCCCCACCTTTCTCTCTCTTTCCGGGTGTTCAGAGGGACTGGGGACCTCCTGGGGAGCACTTATTGTTCACAGCCATCATGTAGTCATAGCAGACATATCGGGCAAATGTTGGGTGGTGGTGCCGGCAAGGACTTTGGTCATTCCATAGAGAATCAGTTATGTTGGGAGGAGTTGGGCCAGAGGATGTCAGACTCAGCCACAGGACCTGAAGGCCAGGGCTAAGGGTAGTTCTGGGCAGAGCATGGCAGCTGGGTCTTGGCCCTGTTGCACGGGTGAGTCCTGGGGAAGAGAACAGGTTTTTTATGTGAAATGAATCATCCCATTGACACCGAAGCCTGTGCTCTTAATAATATACCCCATTGAGCCGCAGACCAGGGTTCTACAAACCACTGGCCACAGACAAAATCTAACCTACCGCCTGTTTTTATAAATAAAGTTTTATTGGAACACAAACACCCCCATTCATTTATGTTTGGTCCATGGCAGCCATAGGACTAACATCCGAGTTGAGTTTTGTGATTGTGATAGAGACCCTGTGGCCCAAAAAACCTGAAATATTTACTATCTGGCCACTCAGGAAACCTTTGCCAATCCCTGGCCCTGCATGTCAGGCCTTATGAGGCTGTGAATGATCTGTTTGACTAGTAGGTAATTTCAGACATTTATTCAAAAGAAATACAGATAGACAAATGGATAAATGAAATATGATGATATATACATTTCATTAAATATACATAATGGAGTATTATTCAGCCTTAATAATCCAGCCTTCATACGCATCCCGACTTAATTGAGAATCAGAGGAGAAGACTTAACCCAGGCGAAAGCACGCGATGATGGTTGGATACGTCCTCGACCTCCAAGGGGTCACGTCTGTTTTCACAGGTGCTGCATTGGGTCAAGCACAGGCTACATCATTGCTCAGAGAGCTTCTGACCTTTGTGACCTTTGGCAAAACGCTTCATTGATCCGAGCTTGTTGTGTGGTGTGTAAACGGACTGATACCTGCAAGGGCACCATGACAGGTGAGTGAAGGAGGAACAAGGCACTTGGGTGCTCTCCCGGGCTAGACCCTAAGTCACGGTCATCCAGAGTCAGCGCCCCTCCGCATGTCTCAGCCAACCTGCGGGCTTTAGGCAGGAAGTGGCTTCCCCCAGGGCTTCTCCAAAGACGCCACCCACACCTCAGAAGCGAGGGGGTTCTCTGTGGTGAGGGTGGTCTGAGGGAGGTTATCAGACACCTGCTCGGGACACCAGAGAGGCCAGCCTCTGTGTCAGCCCCCTGCATCCTGTGCCCACGGGCCTGTCGAGTGTTGAATGAAGCTCTCGCAAGAAATCCCACTGTTCGGCCGAGTTCTAAGTACCACGGAGCTGGGCGGGCTCAGCAGGGGCAGCACTGATTATTGTGACCAGCTCATCGGCTGGCGGGCTGAGTCGTGGAGTCTTTTGTCAAGATGGGGAGGAGGAATGACAGAACTACAGAACCAGGGGAGAGCGTGACCCACAAACAGGACTTCTGAGGCAAGAGACACCCTCCTGTGGCCCCACACGGGACTGCGCCTGTCACAGCTACTCCAGGGCTCCCTGTCTGGAGTGTTGGGAGAGGGACACTCACCATTGTGGGGGGTCAGCCCTAGAAAGAGCACAGTCGGTCAGATTCTTGTAGGGATCATGTGATGTTGCCCTCAGACAGAATCTAGACCTGGGGGGCGTGGCTGTGATCAGATTTCCTTCCTTTGGAGCTGGGAACCCTGTTGGTGGGTGAGAGATGGAGGAAAAATGACTTGGCTGATGCTTTTGTGATCAGAAACGCAGACACCTCGGTCTTTTTAAGAAAGCACATGCTGACCCGCTTAACCAAAACAGAAGCTGAAACCCCGAAATGAAAACAATCATGTTTCTTTGGGGATTTTTGAAATTAATAGACGGTAAAAGCAAAAGATAAAATAAAGCAGACGGCCCTGGGTTAAGTCTTCTCCTCTGATTCTCAATCAAGTCAGGACGCGTATGAAAGAACAGCCACTGTTCTCCTCTTTCTGAATGCGGTTGGATCATCAAATGGCACTTTGTTGAAAATATTAAAACCTAGAGGTCAGGCCAACCCCAGCTTGAAGGCGAGGAGACATTCTTTGGTCTCCGCACAAGGGCATATTTGGAATTGCAAATGCAAATTCTTTGGAGACCGACTTGCCTTCCTGGCCGGCGAGTACAGACAGTACGTTTGAAAGCGGGCCGCGCTTTAATTTTTGACAAGTGTTCGGAAGAGACACTCTTCGCAGCTTGAGAGAGAAGGAGAATGAAAACCAGCTTGCAGGTCAGAGTGTGTGGAGGGAGGGCGAAGACGGGGTGACTCCGGAAGGGACCATCTGACTCAGTTTCTGCCTCTGCTGAGGGCTGGCTGATGTTGGGGGGGGAGGCGGAGCAGGGGGAGGCAGGGGGTCCCAGGAGAAATCCAGTGCCATCTTGGCAGCCAGTGCCACGGTACAGATACCTCGGAACCTGGCTAGCAGTCTGACGTTTTCCAGGGGAGGAGAGGAATCAGCAGAGGTTTGGGGTCCTGGAAACTCGTCATATGTACCAGGTTTCCAGCGCTTTGTCGGTTTGGGAAATTCATCCAGCCCTGAGCCTCATGGTCCAGCTGAATTCTTGTAGGGCTCGTGGGAAGTTGCCCTCAGACAAAATCTAGACCTGAGGGACTTGGCTGTGAGCAGATTCCCTTCCTGTTAGAGCTTGGGTGAAGGCACCTGGGGTGCAGTCCGCCTCTTCACCCAGCCTTCCTCTACCCACGTGTGCTCTCTCGAGGATAAACACTGGGCTCACACCGCCCTGGGGAAGTCAGGAGAAGGAAAGGCAAGGCATGAACATTGACTGGGTGTCACCAGGGGCCTGGACTTGGCGTTGAGGCTTCCCAGCAACCTGGAGATGAGGAATGACCTTGGCACATTTATCTAAAATCAACTACTAATACACATCAGTGACGTGTGCAGGTTTATTTCTGGACTCTTGGTTCTATTCCACGGGCCCCTAGGTTTATCCTTAGGCCTGGATCACGCCATCTTGGCTACTCCTGCTTTGCAGTACATTTTGAAATCAAGAAGGTGTGAGTCCTCCAACTTTGTTCTCCTTTCTCAAGATGGTGTTGGCTATTCTGGGCCCCTTGTATTGGATCAGCTTGTCAATTCCTGCAAGAAAGGCCAGATGGAATTTCAGTCCCGTGGGCTTTTATCTCCGAAAAGGGAAAGGAAGAAAAGAGAGGGCAGGGAAGGGAACCTTCTTCGCACAGTGATGCTGGGAACAGACGTTGTCCATCCGCCAGACTTACCCGCCAGACTAATGGTCTTACACAGGCCCATAGAACTGATAACGCTGGGACTGATGGTGACGGCTGGATGACCCAGGGTTTCTATCCAAGCCATCCCAGTGGGGAAGCGTTTTGCTTATCCATTTGCCTATCCATTATTCCATGGTCACTCACAAATGAACTGACTTCCCTCAAATGTAAGCTATCACACAAAGATTGGCAAAATACACAATTTCAATTTGGGGTTTAGCACTCCACCTTGAAATTTAATGGTATATCTCCTAAGAGTTTTAACCAAAGTCACCAAATTTGACCAAGGCTATAGACGTGTGCTTGTGTCAAATTAGATCACTATTAATGACTTAAAGCAACAGTTCATTATATGTGAACACTCACTGGTGTGGGCCTCAGTCTTCTCATCTGTAAACAGACATTTCCTCAGCACTGTTCCCTACCCCCAACTTCGTTGAAAGACCCCAGTTCCCTGGCTGCTGATAACACAGTCTAATCATAGAGGCCCATCCCAGTGTAAGGACTGAGGCCCAGAGATGCCGGCCGCCATGCTCTCTGCCCGAGAGAGAGGAGCCGCCCCCACAGGGAAGAGCAGGGATGGGAGGCAGAGTGAGAATCTGTGAGCAAAGCCCTCGGGCCTCTCATCGGAGGACCTCAGAGCTGCCCAAGATCTTTCAAATCATTACAGCTGAGGGGAGGATGGGTATCCAGACTCCTCGCTGTTGGACATCCCCAGGGTGCACCGTGGCTACACCTGCAGGCTCCCAGGGCTGGGCACCAACAGCGTCCAACCCCTGACCTCACGGCCACCCCTACCATGTTGGGTGGGAAACTAGGGCCCACGTCCTCAACCTCACCCTCAAACCAAATCTTATCCCATGTTGCCTTGACAACGCTGCAATTGTCATGACACCAAAGGGGTGGCCGGCCAAATCTAGAAGCGTCCGCATCATGAATCCTTCCAGGCTTTGAATTTGTCTGCATCTCTCCTTTTATTTTTCAATGTAAAAAATGAATGCCATAACGCAGGCATCTTGTATCTCATGTGTAACCCGTATCTTAGGTGCAGGAAGTGGGCCTCCGATCCCTTCCTTGCTCTGTCTCCCCTCCTGTCTTTCCCACTCCTTTCTCCTTTGAGCCAGGTGGGGTCAGCCTGGCCCAGGCCCCTCCTCTGCGGCCTCTGGCTCAAGGCAACCCGCAGAGCAGCGAGGGCCCGACTCCATTCCCCGCCACCCCCTGGGCAGTGCCTTGGCAGAGATTTGAAACGTTTCTATTTAAATGACATTTGAACAAACGAGAAGGGGCTCAGTTGTACGTCAATCACATTGCCTGGGACCCAGTTGGGAGCCGGGTCCCCGTGGACAGTGCGCAGTGGAGTTCCCTCTGTTTTCGGATTCGAATTGCTTTGTTCTCGGTCCAGGAAGGGGGAAGGAGGGGGATGCATTTGGCCTAAAATGAAACATTTCCCTTTTAAGTCAAAAACTCGAACATGGCTTGAAGGAGAGAGTTTAAGCTCCATAATCCCCGGTCCTGAGCAAGAGCAGTAACAAGCCTGCAATTTCCTTTTTGGAGGAGAGAAGTCAGAGAAAGCTACTGGGCAGAGCAGGCTGGCGCCCTCAGGGCCACGGCTCAGAGGTCACCTGCAAGGCAGCGGGTCCGCCTCCTTTCTGGGTCCATGCAGATATACTCTGTGGTTCCATTGGCCGGGTTGGGGCGGGCAGGGGGAGTGGGGGAAGCTCCCAGGGGCAGCCTTTCTGTGGCTCCCAAATCTTTTCCCACTTTCCGTGTCTGTGTGGGTCCCACCCTCTGTGCCCATCACCACGCCAGCTGCGTCTGGTTCCACACTGGCCCTCCTGCTGCCCCGTAGCCTGCATGTTCTGCCCACCATCTCTCTTCTCTCCTCACCCACCAGCCAACCACCCATCCTCAAATGATGAAGTCACAGGGGAGTGAGGTGGGATTCAGGTCTTTGCACAAATCGCTCACACTCCCCAAGTTTGGGTTTTCTTATCCCAGACATGAGAAAATTGGACTATCTCACACTCTACGTTATCTCCATTTTGAAAATTATTTGAATCATCGTCAAGTAATAGCACTTAGGGACCCAGTACCTAAGTTAGAGTTTCCATTTTTCTGATGAAAAAACAGGGCCTCTGGCTGAGCCCCAGCCTCCAGGCATGGAAATGTCTTGCTAATTTGACCATGACCGAGTGCTTCCAGCCCTCACTCTCAAAAGGCCTTGTGCCAGTTACTTAAACTCAGTCTATACTTGTTTAATTAACGGGCAAACAGAGAGATGGGTGAGTGCATAGATGAGTGAATGGATGAAACTCTCTCAGACTAACAAAAGTTTTCTATCCTGCCCAGGATTTGATATCACAGTAAAAATCGCACCAGCAGCCGGTTGCAGAAGCACAGCAGAGCCAACCCAGCGTGTCCTATCTTTCAAGTCTTGGCCATCGCTCGTTTCTTTCGGGCCCAGACTTGCCTCCGATTTGTCTACTCTGGAGACAGTAGAGCTGCTTTACGGGGTGAGTTCACATCCTTGGAGCCTTGAATCCTTTCTCGAAGGAGAAAATTGCAAACTTCTGATTCCGTGTATCCATGTTAATATTGATGTAGGAAGCTCACTGGGTTCATCAGGACATTTTTTGGCTACAAGTGCCAGAAACTCAGCTCAACCTGGCTGAAGGAAATGGGTTGGTGTCTCATCAACAAAACCTCCAGAGGTGCATTTGTCCCTGTGTGTCACTGAAGCCAGGAGTGTGAACCTTTCTCTCTCTTCATCTTTCAGCTTGACTCTTTCCTCAGTTTTGGCTTCATTCTTAGGCAGGTCTTAGACATGGAGCCTTAAAAAATATGCTACACCCAAGGAGCTCCAAGCTTGCACTTACACTCCAGGCCTTGGAGCCAGTGATCAGTGTAAAAAGTAGGACTCCCCAGTCATTCTAGCTAAGGTCCCATGGCTGACTCTGATAGGCCGGGCTTAGGTCAGGTGACCATTCCTAAACCAATCACTGTGACCAGAAAAGTAGAGTAAATATTCTCATTGGTCAAGCCAGGATTATAGTTGTGGCTGACTGAGAGCGAGGAAAATGAAGAGCAGAGGTTCTGTATTCAGAAGGAGAGATATGGAGGACACACAAAAAATGCCACCTGGCCACTCCACTGACTTGCCTATTCTGCCTCAGGCTGCAGCTCTAGTTTTCTCCGCATTTCCATAGGACACATTTATCTTCATAAGAGCGTGGGACTTGTGAAAGGTTCTGGGGACCACGGTGAAGGACTGTGGGAGATTGCATTTTCCAAAGATGGCTGCAATAACACCATCTTTCCCACATGCTCCTCTAATCCAGGCACTCCCCCTCCCCTTGAACCTGGGGCCTGGTGGCTGCCTGTCCAATAGAGTATGTCAGGGGTGACGCTATGTGACATCTAAGGTTAAGTCACAATAATGGCATGTAGTTCTGCCTTGTTCTTTAGGGATGTTCACACTTAGAATGCGACCGCCATTCGGTGAGGAAGCCCAAGCAGCCCGTGGAGAGGCCCTTATGGGCAGAAACTGAGGCCTGCAGATTCAACTGAGGCTCAGCGCCCAGACAGCAGCCAAAGGCGTGAGCCATTTTGAAAGGGAGCCCCTTCAGCCCCCAGGTGTGCTATCCCAGCTGAGGCCACATGGAGCAGATGAGCTGTCCCCACCAAGCCCTGCCCAAATTGCAGGTTCATGAGCAAAGTAGATGATTCCATTGTTTAAGGGCACTAAGTCCTGGCATGGTTTGATCGACAGCAATAGTTGACCTATAGGAAGCCAACTGTTCTGGGAAGAAGTGTCACATGGATAACCATAGTGTAATATGAACTAGGTGTGGCCGCCGGGGAGGAACCTAGCAAGGCCCTGTGATCAAAGTCCTCTCCCTGCCCCACACCAGGGCCCAGCAAACATTTGTTTACTAAACCTTTTCATCTTCCTGTGAAGTGTCTTACTTCCCTTTGAGGTCCCAGATCCCCGCCTTCTCCTCCTCATCCCAGATAACATATATCCCTCATTTTTCCTCGCTGTCTTTGGAATTCTCATGCTTATGTGAATTGCCCAAATCTGTCCTATGTCATTTTAATTATATGACCAGCCATAAGAACCAAGAGGGGGAGGGGGAAATTTTCTCCTCCCCCACAGGGCCCTCCCGTGCTCCTCCTTTTCCAAAAATAACTTCTCGTAAGTCCAGTCCTTCTTATATCCTCCTGGCTACTCAGGGGGCGGGGCAGGGGGGGATCTTGAAGGCACCTGGATAGCTGTAATGTTTTGTTTTCTCAGTGTTGTTCCCTATCCGCAACTTCTTTAAGACCCCAGTTCCCTGGTTGCTGATAACACAGTCTAATCACAGAAGCCCATCCCATGGTGTGGACTGAGGTCCAGAGTTCCTGGCAACCATGCTCTCTGCCCAAGAGGGGGTGGGGGTGGCTGCCCCCCAGAGAGGAGAGGAGATGGGAGGCAGAGCGAGAGTCTGTGAGCAAAGTCCTTGGCCTCTGATCTGAGGTCCTCAGAGCTGCCCAAGGTCTTCCAAATCAAGGCCCACCACACACCCTCCAAAATAGAAACTCCAGGCCCTGGCAGTGAGAGAGAGCCCTCTCTGGGTGGGGATGTAACTTGGTGTAACCACTTTGTCGCTACAAAGCAGAGCCTACAGATACTCTACGACTGAGCAATCCCGTGCCTACTAGTGGGTATAAGCCTCGGAGAAATGCATACATGTGTTCACCAAGCAGCATGGGAAATATCAGAACACCCAACGCCCATCAGCAGTATGTACTGACATGTGCTAAATACCGTCATCCCATGGATACTGCATGTTGATGAGCACGAACAAACTTCGTGTAAACATCATGGATAAATCCCATAAGCGCACCGTGTGATCCATTTGTATAAGGTTCAGAAAGTTCCATCTGCATCAAGTTCAAAAACAGGAAAACTAGACTCGGGTGGTGGAAGTCAGGGCGGTGGGTGTTAGCGTTATGAAGAAAGAATAACTAGACGGGGGCACGAGGGGGTACTTCTCCCCGAAGTTGGGAGCAGGTTCCCTGGGCGCACTGCACTCTCTGTGTGAAAACCCACCACGCCGCCCCTCGTTTGCTGCATGAACCGATCTCAAACTTCAACAATAAAGTGCCTTTAAAAAACTGCCTCGTTCAGAAATTACACTGAGCAGATCCACGTTGGAGGGATCCACGTGGCTTTGTCTTTTAATAACAGCTCGATTCTTTCAGACATGAATCTTTCGCTGTTGCATCAGTAATAGTTCGTCACGGCAATTTTCCCTTCACCCCGTACAGACAGCTGCGCCTTCGGGCCCCTGCTGGCCAGCCCTTTGTGGGGACGCTTCTGCTTCTTGGCAAAGCCGCTCTGCTCAGCACCTGTGCTCGCTCAGAATCGCACATTCGCCCCATCAGGTGCTCTGGCTAATTTTGTGTTTTTAGCCGAAAAGATTCCCCTGACGGACGAGGGGGAGATGGAAAGGGCACAGGACGTGGCGTCACGTGGAACTGGGCCATCAACACATTTCTGCCACCGGAGCTCAGATGCTTAACTTCTCTGAGCCTCAGCTTCCTCATCTGTCAAATGGGATCGGGGCGGTGCCTACCCCGGAGGGCAGCTGGGAGGAATGCGTGGGATAGTGTGAAGCGGCCGGCCCAGTGTCCGGCATATTGAACTTCCTTAGTAAACAAATGTAAGCCACTACTGTTGTTGGAGAAGGAAAAGAAACAACCTTTGGGGGGTTTTTAATGGCAAAATTAGTGAGTGTTCTATTGCAAAAAAACATGCGAAGCGCAGGAGAGCATCCAGAAAGGAATAGAACTCACTGGGCGATAAGGGGCCTCAGTTCCAGGCGGGCAGGAAATGGGCCTTTACCTCTTCCTGCTCAGCTTGCCTTCTGTTGTGAGCCCGCCGTCCACTGCAGCAGGCACTCCGTCTCGTCTCAGCAGTTGAGTCCCGCCTTTTTCTGGAGTTGGGGGAGAGGGAGAAATAGGTGGAGGATGGAAGGATAGGGATGAGGGAGAGGGGAAGGGTGGGGAGAAGGGGAGGAGGAGGACAAGGGGACCTGGGCCATGGATCTGGGCATCTTCTAAATGGTTTGCTGCCCATTGCCTCTCCCTCCCATCTGCAGGCCCTTTGTGTTCAGTGCCCCTGCCTTGTGGGCCCCCTGAGCATGGGGGCAAGCCAGGGTGTGCCCCCAGATCCTCCCATCACAGGATCCTCCCCACAGAGCAACTCTGCCCCC